AAAGAGAACTCAACTTATACCTTTTCATTCTTAATGTTCTGAAAGAAAGAATTCCATAGTTCTAAGTGCTGGTTTTCAAAAATTAACTATAAATTCAAATATTAATTTTTTTATTAATCAAATCATAGAAATAGAATCAAGAAAAGGTTTTGCTCTTAATAATCATAAAAAATGACAAAAAACTGTTGTGCTAGTATAACTCAAAACACCTGCACACAAAGATGTTATATGCTACCTGTTGAGCTGGGTACTAATCTAGTATTTCAAAACATGTACCATTAGCACTAAAAAAGGTCAAGAGCTGAGGTCATGGTGCATGCTGCACAGGGCTTGCCATTTACTGCATTTTACTGGTATAAATAGGTTCAAGTGAAAATCCGTGCCATCACCAAAATTTGGTGGTCAGGTCCGCATAAAGTACAGTAACTCACAAAAAGAATCAGAACAATACCTCCCGAACTGTGAGCCAGAAAGTGCTAATAGACAGTCATATAAAATCATGCAAATAAACAAACAGGAACACACTTTGAAATTCCCAAAAAGGGATTTTGAGTTACAGAGTTTCCTTAACTAGTGCACATTAACAGTGCCAGTGCACAAAGTATAGTTCTTCAAAATAACATCATGATAAATAGCAAATTGTCATAATGTACTACAGACTACTATAATTGTGGACATTTGATGGGACTGATGCTCAAACTACAGGGCACATAATTTCAATTGTATAAGCTCTCTTACTAAAGGTTAAAGTGATTTTCTACAGAATCTACCTGCCAAAATGAATTTTCCCGAGGTAAGGTGCAATTTCTGTACGCAAGCTTCCATAGATCCTGGGAAGATGCATGTAACTACAACATCAGGTATGCTTCATATAAACATTTATTCAAAGGGTGTAGCATGTATTATCTTTACTGTCTGAACAGAGAAATACAAGAAGTTTTGCAGGATATAAATATGACTGCAGAGGATTCTCAAATGTGTGTAGAGTCACTTTAACTATATGGGACTATTCCCACAGATATTTAGATCGATCTATCTCCCTGGGGAGTCTCACTAACTTAACCGGCTTAAATTTCTGTCATGCCTAGTAAAGCTGTTAAGGGGTAATTATCTTTACCCCCCAAGCTGATTCGGTAGGCGTGACAGACATTTAAGCTGGTTAAGTTGATAGCAATTTAGTGAGACTCCCCAGGAAGTTAGACCGATCCAGATGGATCGATCTAGGCATGGGAACCTAGTCTATGAAACTTCAGGTTTAATTGTTTCACTCACCAGCAACCTTGGCTTGAAATGCCACTCCCACTGCACATACAGAGTTAGCAACTGCCCCTATCTCCCCTGCACAGCGTGTGCCATGATGATTTTTATCTGGAGGAAAATCAACTAGAACCTTATACACAAAATAACTTCTTTTAATGATACTATTCCAATAGCAGTTAAAATGCAAGGCAGTAAAGTAAAAGGCCCTTTCTGACATTTAAGTGTAGTGTTCTAATTTAACTTGACTATTTTTTTATTTATTTTGGGACAAATTACATCTTGGGTCATAGTATTTAATCCTTTAGTGAAATATTGGTTAGCAGGAAGTTACCTTTATTAATTGCAGGCATAGGATCACTGTCATGAGAATTCAGATCCCAGCTTCCTTGAGGACTGTAATTGTCTTGAATGTCTGGGTTTGTCCACTCTAGACCTACAACAACAATTGTACAAGTAACAAACATAACAGTAGGAGTGCCTTCACATTTATTTTCCAAGTCACAACCTCCTTTGGCCTTAACCCAAATTTTTTTAATTAATCATTTTATAGATATCATGTATATTTTATGATATATTCAAAACAATATAGCATCTGTCACCTGTTTTATAATACGTATATATATCTTCAAGCTCTGTTCAAATCAGTTCTCAGAGAGAGAGTCAATTTCTGAATTAATCTGGGAACATTTTAAAGGGTTCTCATTAAATGAGAACCTACATTTACAGCAATGATTATATCTAACCTGATATGCTCACAGTTCATTGTCTGAGCAATTACTTGATTGTATGTAATACCCTGGGATTCTAGAACAACCCCCCCCCCCAACAACCCCTTCCCCTAGACAACCCAACCCCCTCCCTAAACAATTCCCTCCAAAGAATATATACATAAACATACAAATATGAAGTAAAGATTGCAAAATTCAAATCTTTTCATCCATTTTATGAATATTTTTAATTGTGGATATGGAACATTAACATCAGTAACCAAATTATTTTATCCCAATGTCATCGTCGTGAAGTACAAGTATATAAAATCTTATTAAAATCTGATAAAGGTATATTCAACTATCCTCTGAGTAAAGGTGGGTAAACAGATAAACATATATTTCAAACAGATATTTTATCATATGAATGTTTTTTAGGGTAGAGAGTAGACGGGTATGGTCCAGCAATTAAACAAAGCATACATAAATATTTTAATGGCACTCTATAAAGGATTTACCAGCTAAAATAGTTTTCTTTTTGGGAGGGGGGAGCAATTTTCTACTACTCACAATTTTAATCAATCCCTGCTTTGCAGAATAAATATGCCTGTGGGAAAATTTTCAAATGGGAGCAGAGTGCCTTTAAATAAGTATTAGCACATATCTGGTTTAAAGCTCTTGGTAACCACAAGATGACCTTGACCTTACCATCATCAACCACCACGACTGTCACTCCTCGTCCAGAGATGTTCCTGGACCACACCTCCTGGACATTGATGTCCATCTGGGGGTTAACCTCATTGTGCTAGGAATAGAGAAGGCAAACATGTTCAGACAATTATATGTACGCAAATGGCACTGCAGAACAGTTAAAAGATTGACAAATGTATGCATTATCTATTATTTAACACACTTAGAGAGCTCAAATGACTCAAGCAACAGTAAGCACACACAATATAGTTGTAAAAGGCAAGGCCTGCATTTCCTAAGAAAATTTGGACCCAAGACGAAGGCTCTTCAAAAACCAGTACCAAAACAAAACTGAGCAAGTTACACATGTTGTGGGCATTATAAACACATAAAATATTATACAACTTGTGTGATTACAGCAAGTAAAACATTTGTGTTTACATGTTGGTTCTTAACGTATCACACTATATATGTGCATACACGGTAATTTTGGACGACAACACCCAAGAACTCTGTTCACTGTATTTGTCCGTGTGTGTGGGCATGCATATGCACACATGTAGAAAGCTTTTACTTAATGTGCACTCAGAACAGATGATCTATGGACTAACTGATCCGCTGACTGAATGTGGCCAACCCCACTTCAAAAGTGATGCAGCTAATTCCTAGTAGTCTCCCCGCCTCCACACGCACCATCGCACCATCGCTGCAGGGGCCAAGCAATTAAATCTTGAAACCGACATTTAATCCATTTAATGGCACTGTGGAGGCGGGGAGACCATCAGGGATTTGCAGCAACGGTTTTGAAGTGATGTTAGCCATATTTAGACAGCGGATCAGTTAGTCTGCAGTTCACCTGTTCTCAATGCACTCTTAGTAGATATATAGTTCACATACCAGATGCCACTGTCTGGGATAGGCAGGGTCCTTGAAGTTCCAACTGCGTTTCACTCTAGGTCGAATAACCTGCTGACTGTACCATAATACTTCTGGAGAGACATCCATTATATGGTGAACAGTTTGTATAACTTCTCTCAAATATGTTGAAGAATTCAAGTACAAATCTTCTCTGCCTCCAGGTTTGCTCAAAATGTCTTCGTTTTCAGTTCTTATATTATCACCAATTAACTGGTATTTGTGAGACTTAGAATCCATATCCATTGTTTGTTTCTTGAATGTCTTGGAATGTAAGAACAGAAAAGTGTTTTCAATATAAGATTTTTGGCTACTTTCTGGAAACACACCTTGACTATCATGTTTGGTCAATTTTATCACAGATTTGGGGTACAAAAAAGTCTCTTTTTTAAGTGGCTTTTGACTTGAATCGAATTGACTGACTTTGGCATTTTGAGACCTGGATACTTTTCCTAAACTTGGCTTGGTTTCTGCATCAGAAGCACCTGTTTCCTTCACATTAGAGACTGGAATGTTGTTTAACCTGAGTTCCAACATATAAATATCAAAATGTTGTAAATATTCCATTGGATAAAACACAACGGAAGCCCTAATCTTAGAATTAGATAACAACCCACCATTTAACCTATCAGCAATAGCTCTGGATACTGAATTGGCAATGTTTTTGATGTGTTCACACCGACTAGAATAGTAGTAAAAGTGCTCACTGTCTTGTAATTTGACTGCCCAACTATGTATCTTGGCACTGTGATACTTGGTATCAATGTGGTGTTTAACATGCTTTTCCATAGCATCTGCATTCATGGTATGCTGAAGCAATGTGAAAATACATAGCCACGCACACAAAGCACCCTTTGACCTGACTTGCATATTATTTGACTTTATAATAAGCATTTTCATAATTGCCTTTATCCCTTGAAGTTCACAATCCATGAACTAAGGTCAGCAACCACTTCAAAAAAGATTCAGTTCTTTGGTTTTTACAACTGACAATTTGTATTGGCATATAAAGATAGCAAATAAATAAAGACACTTTAATAAATACTGTCAACAGTAGAATAAGCTGCAGATATAATATACCATATACATGTAAAAATATAATAAAGATCTTATCTTTTGTTTTCACAGTTAACATATATTGTGGATCCTGTCAAGTTTCATAAAGTTGCAGATGTGGTAACATGTTTATAAATAATAGCAAAAAATCCAATGCATAAATATTTCAGTGTCCCTGATTGAGAGTTCATGAATGACTAGATTACTAAACCCAATATTACAGAGTCCTTTTCACATGCTTCAATGTTTCTGACCTATGATCCAAAATATTTACTTTTAATCTTTAAAATCAATCCATGAATATTATCATAACTTATCTCCTGAAATCACAGTTGCTGCTATTTTATTGCACAATTCTTGCCAAGAGATCTTCAAGACCCGTTGAATAGTCCTTCATGTCTGTTAATAGAGGGAATTGTAGAAAAG